AAAAAAATTTGGCCCAAAAAATTTTAGTCAAAGAAATTTTTGTCAAAAAAATTTTCGGAAAAAAAAAATTTGGCCCAAAAAATTTTTGGTCAAAAAAATTTTGGTCAAAAAAAATTTGGCCCAAAAAATTTTGGTCAAAAAAAATTTGGCCCAAAAAATTTTCGTCAAAAAAAATTTTGTCAAAAAAATTTTGGTCAAAAAAATTTTGGCCCAAAAAATTTTCGGAAAAAAAATTTCTTTCAAAAAAATTTTTGGTCAAAAAATTTTTGGTCAAAAAAATTTTGGTCAAAAAAAATTTGGCGCAAAAAATTTTGGTCAAATAAATTTTTGTCAAAAAAATTTTCGGAAAAAAAATTTTGGCCCAAAAAAATTTAGGAAAAAAATTGGCCCAAAAATTTTTGGTCAAAAAAATTTGGCCCAAAAAAAATTAGGAAAAAAATTGGCCCAAAAATTTTTGGTCAAAAAAATTTGGCCCAAAAAATATTTGTCAAAAAAATTTTGATCAAAAAAATTTTCGGGAAAAAAATTTTGGTCAAAAAAATTTTGGCCCAAAAAATTTTCGGAAAAAAAATTTTGTTCAAAAAAATTTTTGGTCAAAAAAAATTTGGCCCAAAAAATTTTGGTCAAAAAAATTTTGTCCCGAAAAATTTTGGTCAAAAAAATTTTTGGTCAAGAAAATTTTGGTCAAAAAAAATTTAACTCAAAAAATTTTGGTCAAAAAAATTTTGGTCAAAAAAATTTTGGTCAAAAAAATTTTTGGTAAAAAAAATTTTTGGTCAAAAAAAATTTTTTACTCCATAAAAAATGTGACAAAAATGTGTCATATAAGAAACCTTTTGGAAAAGTATTTGTCTTTGGGAATCTAATTAGACTGGAATTCGAGTTCTGGTAGATCTCGAAATCTAATGATAGCAGATAAGTTCTGTAAATTCTTATTAGTTTAGACAAAAACAATAATAAAACCATGTAATAAATTTTTATAATTGAAAAAGTTTTATTTCATATATGATTCTGAATTACATTGAAATAATCATTTTATAGAATAAATTTCATAGAACAATTTTCTAAGCTTTTCATGTCAACCTAAAAAAATCAAGTTATTCAGAAAAATAATTATTTTAAATATGTTGTATACAAAAAAATTGATATAATGGAATGCCACTAACGATTTATACAATGCTCACATATAACATAAAATAAATACTATTCAAGTAATACCAAGGAAAAACTAAAAATTAAATTCTGACCAGATTCAAATTGCTTCACAGACGTAGAAAATATTTCTGTTGCTGTTAAAGCATGTATCATTCATTCTACAATCATCATCAACATTTTCATTTCAAGTTTAAAACTTGAAACATAATAATCACTAAAAAATAAGGTGATCTCAAATAAAAACTGGCAAAGGCAACCTCTGAATTTTTTTATATGACTGATTTACTAAGATTAGTCAAAACTAAGCTGTTTTCAGTTAATATATTTTCCAAATAAAAATACTTTTGATTAATAATTTATAATATATCGAATTTGAAAATTCGAGTTAATTGATCAGCCGCATCATGTGCATTCATACAATCGATTGAATTCATAAAAATAATTATAAAAAGAGAGTTCCTCAAATTAAAAATAAGAGACCAAAATGTAATTTTTATGCGTGTTTGGCCTTGATTGCTCTATAAATTCGATAACTATTTCTTTTATATATATATTTATATAACACACTTTTTAATATCATATTAATGCTGCTTCTTAGTACATTTGTTGTAATTCTTTTAACTTGGTCTAAGTCAACTTTTATCAGGGCACAGTTCTGACCAGCGAGATTCAAAGTATCTTCGCATCCCATGTCCGGCTTTGCCCACAGGACTATCATCTTCGTTGAACACTTCGCAATTGTTAAATATTTGCCGCACGTCCGATACAAAATCTTCTCGAGATTTATATCTAAAATTGAACAAACGCTCTCAGTATTAGTCCCAGTAAACAACCACATATCTACCATTAACTTAATAATAGATAAAAAATAATTAATTAATACTTTATTTCAAAGTGAAGGTCAGCATATGTAAGACTACTAAAATGAGTTACCTGATATATTAAAATGCAAAAACTACTTACAATAAGTCTGTGATCTTTCTCTTGATGGTCGACAAATCCATTGGAGTTTTGATTATCTTTTTATATGTAGGGAATTGTTTAGTATTGACAGGTAGTAAAAATGGCCAAGAATCTTCATGTATTTCCATTTCTTCAAGTAATTGTTTGCAAGATGATAATTCTTTATTCAATTTCTTAAGATTCTGTCGTTCTTTACGATTGTCTGCTTTTTCAATTTTTTCTGGCTTGTCAATCTTATCAGTTTTGGTGGCTGCTGATACTGCTTCTTGAGATAGTTGTGGTGATGTTGGAGATTTGGAAGGAGATTCATTATGAAATTCTTCATATGATACTGATGCATGTGATAAAGCAGGGCTGTAAAAAATATATAAAATGCATTTAAAGTTACATACAAAGACTGATAACATAGTAATTTGAAAAATAAAAATGCAACCAGCAATTATTTAACAAAATTGTTTAAAATATAAATATACATTGTTAACCTTGGTGGGGGTTCCACAGCAACATCGACTGGTTGATTTTGTGGAGGAGGTTTCCGCACCCTCTTTTTACTAGGAGGTGCTTTACTTATGCAACCACTGCAATACCATTTTCCTCGTGGAGTCTTATTTTAAAAATAATTTTATATTAGGATATGAGTATATAATTTATTTGATTTATGAATACTGTTGATAGGTTGATTTTCTTGTACCTTTACTAGTGGTGGACTATGACAATCCTGATGATAAGCTCTGGGACATAACTCACAAAGCAAAAGCTTTCCTGGTACTGGACCTGGTATGCTCACCCGACGCCCTCCGCACACAATGCAATTACGCTCGCCAGTCGCCTTGTTCAAACACTCAAAACAATACCTAAAAATTAGTCATGAATACATAGTAGGTAAAAGTTTTGCAAAATAATACTTATAGCTCATTTAAACATACCAGTCTCCTTCGGGAATTCTGTCCATTTTTGGTTTGAAACAGTAGGTGTGATATCCTTTATCACATCCATCACACAGAAGGAGCTGATCTTCACTATCACCAGAATGGCAAAATTGACAATTCTGAATAGAGAAACAAAGAAATGGTAGTGATAATGAAATCATTTTAATGCATTTAATATATAATAAAACTAATTACAGCTCTCATAATGCTTTTATCCCAAGCAACGCTGGCTTCTAACATGTAAAGACACATGGCTAATTGAGCACTTGTGTGACATCTAGATACAGATTCCCTCCAGCCCAATAGACCTTTTGGTATACTTTCATTATCCCCAGTATTTGTAGAACTCTGCGTTGGCTCTTGAGTTATTGCTGCGAGATTGGGGTCTCCAGTACTAAAAAAAGGACAGATAAATTAATTGCTTTATTTTCTGAACCTATTCATAATTCGCCTAAGCAGTTTTCAATCAAAATTTAATGCAAGCTTAAACAAAATGTTTTCAATTCATACTAACTTTATTCCTAATGGTGGTTTTAAATATCGTCGCTCAATTGCAGCTTCAAGACCTAAAAGTCTTTCTCTGACAGCTGTTACGCAATTTTCCTCATTTACATCACGTGGTGGTACTGACCAACCTTTGATTTGCATACTGGCATTGGCCACCTTATCTTCTAAAGCTTCCACCTGTAAAAATTAAAAACAAATCAGTTACCAAATTATTGCCATTAATAAAATAAACACTTAAATAAAAGTATTTTACCAAAACAATATTTGTTTTAACCCTTCAACTTGGAAATTAATCTAGCTTGGACAGTATCGAAATATTTGCAACTCTATAAAAAGTTGTTTGAACTTTCATAACATGCAATGAAATGAATATAAATTCCGCAATATGAACAATGTTCTTATGTACGTTCAAGCGCACACAACATTCTTGTGATCTGTAGTAATGTGATTAGCTCATTATTGCCCGAGATGACACTTGTACATTGTCACAAGCCACGCACGTTATTCCCGGTTAAGGGGTTAATAAAAAGTATTATATATTACTACAATATTACTTGTTCCAAAAGCATGGCATCAATTCGTTGAGCCACTGATAGATTTACAGATCCTGGCATATCCGGCTCCACATATCCACCTGGTGCTGGCCTATCTCCCATCTTGCATGCTGATGGCTCCAATATACCATGTAAATCAATCTGAAAATAATTCTATTGTTAACTAATTCGAAATCCAGGAGCATAATTATGGTTAAACATTTATCACAATTTCATTATTAATGTTTATTTTTATTAGTGTCCCATATAATACATTTGTTGTAATCAAGTATGCAAAAACATATTGATTTTATTTATTATCAAAATAAACAACATTGCATGAAAAATTATAAATATTTCTATTTGTCAATATCGCTTTATCGATATAATTGAAGTATGAATTTAATAATTGAATCATAATTTATCTAATACATACCTTGCCATTTTCATCCATATGTGATAAAATTGATTTTCTCAATTCTCTCTCTCTCAAACCTTTTGTTTGCAATGAATCTACAAAACCTTTCACAATAGATGAATCATAGATATGCCACCATCCAAACCTAGATATAATTTCATTTAATAATGATTTTATTATTAAAAGATAAAGTATAAGTTAAATACAAATTTACCTAAGTGGTGTTGGTACAAAATTTTTCTCCAATTTTTTAGGCATTCCAAAAGCTTTAACATTATCCAATTGCTTTTGTTCATCAGCAGTCATTGGAAGTGGAGATGGGCTATCACATTGTAAATATGCACTAAGGCTATTAATATTAAAATTAATATAATTTGGTATATTCTGACCCTGATAATTATTATTTTGATTATTTAATGGTGATGGCGCTTCAGACGATTCAGCTTGCAAAGAACCTACAATCTCATTTCCTTTGTCAGTGTCGCTTTTAGCATCTACCTCTATATCATTATCCATCTGACAATTATCTTTATTAGTTTCACTACTTGCAGATCCATTTACTTCATTATTCATAACACTATCAATTAATGACGCATCTAGACCAGACAAAGTTAAACTTGAATCAATATTCTCACTGGAAACAAAAACATTAGCATTTGTCGTGGCCGCGTCTATGCCGGAAAAATTAAAATACTGTAAATTATTTGAAATATCCCATCTATTTCCAGCCACATTGTGAACTTCATCACAATTGAGATTCTGACTAGCAATCACGGTTTGTTGATTTAGTGAATCATCAAGATATTTTCCTATAGTTAATTGTCTTTGAAGAATTGAGAACCATTTTGAATCAATGCTTTCTTTTTCAGAGTCTGATTTATTGCTTGAATTATCATCTGATTTACTCTTAGAACTTGTTTTTTCCTCATTAGGACAAGACTCATCTGAGGAAGTCAGATTTTTTACTTCTTCAATTTTATTGTCCACATTCCCAGAGCTTATATCATTAGGTTTATTGTTTTGATTTAAGTTATCAGTCTTTAAATTATCAGTTTGTTCTGTTTCTTCATTTACAACATCCATTTTCTCACTAATTTCTACAGTAGTTTCATTTTCTTCTGGTACCGTTTCAGTGCTGTTGCTTTCAATTTTAACAGGAGTATCAACTTTACCATTGTCTTCTGTATAAATATGTTTATTCGAATTAGGCTTCTGCACAAGAAAGGCCGTGGGTATAGAATCTTCAATATCTAGCATTTCAGACATTTCTTCATTCTTCTGTTGAATGAATTTCTCTTCCATCTTGATAGGCCCTTCTTCTTTGGGACCTGGTTCATATTTGATGATTTGAGTATGGTCACTAAGATTCAAGGAAGACTTAATCGTTTGGAGTTCTAATTTCGATTGTATTTGATCTGGGGTCAGTTCTATTGTCTCTTCTGAAAAAAAATACTTCATTTTAAAAAGCATACAGGAAAACAATAATTGCATTTTTTAAATATAGAGATTAATAATTGCATTTTTTAAATATAGAGATTTTGAATGCATTTCAAAAGTGAAAACATTACAAATCATCATATACATCAAAACAGTTTCTAAACTAATTTGAAGAATACAAATTTACCCAATTTGGGAATCTTTTCTTTTGGGGGATCCTCATCTTCCTCAAAACCATTTGGGCGTTTTAGGCCTAATTCAAGAGTTCGATGGTAATCCACAATTTCAGGCTGCGCTGATTCCATTCCTTCTACCCAGATGCCTCCAACAGTTGCGAGAGTCCAATACCTTCTCCAGTATCTGAAAATTTAGAATTATTTATATATATATATATATATATATATATATATATATATATCTTATATATAAAAATGGAGCTCTCTTTCAAATGTCCAAGTAAAACTCGAAAACGGCTGAATCGATTTCGCCAGTATTAGTCTTGAAAAATTCGTGCCAATCCAGAGAAAGTCCAAAAGGTGAGAAACTATTTCAAATCCACGTAGAAACTTTACATTTTTAATTTGAAAAGTTTTGTAGAAGCTTTTGTAATTTAAATAAAACAATGGACGGTGGCTAATACGTGAAATCTCAAACTTTTTTGACAGATGATCAATTACATTTAATAGGATGTTTTACGTGCATATTATGTATTTATGATTAAATTGTAGTAAGTAGTTTTGTTTGTAGTTTTATTTATATACAAAAACGTTAGTAAACGGGCCGCAAGTGTTACTAGAGACAAAATATCAACTTTTTTGAAATGTTAATATGAAAATGCAATTTTTGGCATATTTTTCTCAAACACGATGTTCTGAAAGATCTCATTTGTATAATTATATACTCATTGGTATTTATAAAATATTTTTTAGGTTATATTAATTTTTATTTATATTATTTAAATTCAGTATCTAAATTTGGTATCGATCAAAGGGACATTTTGTCGAATAACATTTTCCCAGTTATAATTTCCCAGAATTTATCGAAGAATAGATAGTAATATATGATGGTCCGGGGTTAAAAAGGACCACCACAGATGTGTCAAAAATCAGTAAAGTTAAGCATTGTTTAACAAGAAACTGAAAAGTATAGGGAAAAAGATGTATAACCAGCTATAATCTTGATTCTTATGACTTTGCTATCTGGAGATAAATTGTAATCTTTGAAAATCTATAATAAAAGTATTTTCTTCCGTTTGTAGTTTTTTAGCATTAGTTAAAAGTGTAATTATTTTGTAAAATACTTTTAAAATTAAAATAAGACATTAACCCTCCGTCGGGCGCAGCCCAAGTATGTACAGAATCGGGCGCAGTGTATCTGACTGATACAGATTATAAATATATTGACAGGAGGCTTATAATTTTATATATTTTATTTAATTTGCGCTTTTACAATGCTGAATATGTATATTATGTGTAAACAAAAACAAAATATATATTAGATCAATATTATTTTTATAATATAGCAAAATATAAAAATCCGTACATGCGCTCAAAATGCTAGACGCACAAACCTTACTTTTTCTGAAATGAATAATTTAATTAATTATATAAAAACAATTGTCAGATTCTGTTGGAATGTTTATACAAAGACTATATGAACAATTAGGACAATAAAAACTTAGTGTTTTTTGTCATTTTGTACGTCAAATAGAATTTGGCTTTAACAAAATTGCTACTAGCAAAATATGCGAAGTTCAAAGACAATCTAATATGGACGAATAAATAGTAGACATAAAATAACGAGGCTACTGAGATATGGAGATCTCGATGACATCAAATTATGGAGAAACATGCTAAAATGTTGGCCCTGTATCTGTCAGATCGGCTGCGCCCGACGGAGGGTTAAACCAGTTTGCCACCTGGCCGTTCCAAGTTACCCTGTCTATGGGGTAAAAAGGTTCACATAACAATTTTTTGAAAGACAGCAAAAAAAGCACATTTTTACAATGATGAAGTAACTGGCAGTTTTACTGAACGTAGTCAGATAATTGTTCATTTGAAATGTGTTATTTGTCGTGATATAATTGGTTTGCTTTTCATAATATAGTTTATATTTGCTCAAAGTCAAATTGGACCTTTGTGCCTCGCCCTGCTCTACATATATACTTTTTATTAAATTTACTTCAATTCATCAAATGTTACTTGAAACTTTTCAAAAAGCAGGTCAAAGAATAAATACTTAATTCGTTTTCTATCTCTCCTCGCAGCAATTTGAAAATTTTGTTTAAGCTCAGTAGTATTATGTATAATTTTACACAAAATCCCAAATCCAAAAAGAATCTGAAAAACTTGAAACGTAATCAATAAATCTAAAGACCAAAAAAGACTTGGATTGGATTATACCATGTTTTCTACATAAAACTTCCAGTTTATTGAATTGACAAAATATAGATAAACTAATGGGGTTTATTGTTTTAATATTGCATCATTGTATATAGCATTCATACAACACATTCTTATACACTTAAAGTATTAATTTTTTTGATTCTGTAGAAATTGTTTAGAATATACCTTACTTAGCAAAACAACGTTTGCCGGGTCAGCTAGTGTGTATATATATATATATATATATATATATATATATATATATATATAATGTGATAAAAATAATAACTGCATTGACTTATCTTGTAAATATTGATTTAGAATAAAGTATCTATTTATCTATAAATAGATGAAATTACCTGTCTTGTCCATGGCATGTCGCTCGAAGTTGCAAACAAGAACTTTGTAGTGCTTTGCTTTGTGTACTAGATGATCGTTGTAATTTTTCCAGTTTTTTACCAATTTCCTCTGCACTTATATTTTTATCTTCGTCCTAGAACATTGAAGATACATAAAAATATGAGTAACAATATGAATAAAATATATAGATTCATTCTTGTTTGGCTTGCCTCAGATACACGAGTGCTCACATATAATATTGTATTTATTAATTATTTTTTATTCTTTACAAAAAAGAAATTACTGACATTTGGTGCTTGTTTCCAATTATTAAATTTTTACAAGCTGTTATTAATATGTAACCACTGAAGATGATATATAATTTTATGTCAAAACATATGGAAAAATAAAGGTGTTTTAAAAAATCTTTACTTATTTATATTTTTTACTTGACGTTACGCCCTCCAAGAAATTAATCATACATTTCAACATCAAATTTAAACAAATTCAACATATATATATATATATATATATATATATTTATTTATATATTTATATTTATATATATATATATATATATATATATATATATATATTGGCTCGGCCACTAAAGCCTCGGAGCTTGCACATTTCACAAGTCGTGGCAGAAATTACTTAATTTTACTCACATTTTTGTAAATAAAACTATCATTTTTCTTTTTACATCTTACAAAAAATGATAAAAATTCATAGTGTGAACAAGTTAGATGTATAAATGTTAGTGCTAATTTCTTAGATGTATTAACCTACCAACGTTAATATCCACTGATGATGACATTAAATTGAATGTCGAAACGTTTGGAATTAAAGATTAATTTATAAATCTTTGCTTCTTATTTTTTTATGTTGACATCAAAATTAACAACTAAATCATATATATATATATATATATATATATATATATACATATATACTATACAGTATACATATGTATTAAATTCATATATTTTGGTTTCATACCTCACTCTCAACATCTGATAATATTTCTTCATCGACTCCTTCAGAAGGTGCAGACGGTGTGGATATGGGCGGGTGATCATCAAAACTTGTTGCATCAGGAGCTGGTGAGCCGACAGAATGATCTGCGTTCATACTTTCTAGAAAGGGCCGTTCTAAAAATCCCTAAAATAAATAAAAAACAATTACATTATTCTCACATTTACTACAAATTAAAAGTATAATACAAAATATGAATCATCTATATATTTATTTTAATGTTGAGTATCATGAAATATACACAAAAAATTTGTCTTAAGAAATATACAAAACAATTTCATTTGTTTGAAATCAATAAAGAATTATTTTCAGTATGCAAATTTATATGTATATATTCTACCATTTTTTTCTATCTTATATGAATTTTTTATATTTAATATAAATGATTTTATATAATGCATAAGTTAATAGCAAATAATATCACTTTTTATTTTTTTTATGGATTTTAACTAACTTATTGCAAAAAAAAATCCTTACCACATTATTTTGTAATTTATCACAAGGGAGGGTTTGACATTTCTCATGATTTTCTATTCTAACTTTTCTCATGTGTAAAGATTTGTATTTTTTAATTTTTCCATCAAGAATATATTTCTCCTTTTTCAAATGAGCCACAGTTTCATGAGAATTTTCAATTTGTTTAAGAACTGCTTTATTTTGTAGAAGCTCATTACAAAGAAAGGCAAGAATTTCAGCTTTTGTTGTTGGATTTAATGCCAAAAATGGGCAATCTTTTAAGCTCTCTGATAATTTCCATGTAGAATTATCATGCAGATATTCATAGTATTGCGCGTTTTTGCCAGATGATGTTTGAATCATTTCAGTATCACTCTGCAAATGATCTGCAACACGTTTCTCCCGATCTCGTTCAAAATTAACACCTACAAAAATATAATTATTAAGAAATGAAAAACATATAAGTAGAAAACTTATATACGTATGTAAACATACACACATATATTAGGGATGGGTAACTCACATTGGAGTTATATACGAGTGGAGATTTTGTCATATCCGACTTCCCTAAGCTAATACTACATCTGTTCACATGTGCAGACATTTGCTTGAGATTTTTTAGTAATACAAAGATTTGCGTCGATAGATTATTAAAGAGTATAAAGAGCGACCGGCCCTCTCCTCTCTCATAGGCAATTTTAGGGCTATAAAGTGACTCAAAATTATGTCATTCTATATTCTATATTATAGACGTACAGCTCGGGCGTAACGCAATTTCCATTGCATTCTCAAAGATTATTTTATTGACATTTATTAATTCATGTATTGTCTGATTGCCCGATTGCCTAATTAACCCTTTATAGCAAAAGAATTACCCAGATTTTTGCCATATTTTTATTTTCCCAAATCTGGCAATTTGTATGCATATTGAAATGCATAAAATAGTAATTTCTTATAATAATATTAACAAAAATGTTTGAACTATTTGTACACAATTTCCAAATACTTAATAAATCCTTAGATATATGAACACACTATAGAACACATTTGTGTCGAGTATTAGATTTCAAAGTTGTGGTAGTCGTCGGAGTTGTTAACTCAAATAGGAGTCAAATCCTAACCGGCTTTGGATATGATAAACCCATCTCTAATTCAAATATGAAAATTATGTATAATTTTACCTGTTAGTGCTTTAACTTCACCAGTAGCATTAGCATATAAATAAATTCTTAGAATTTCAGATAAGTTAATATGAGTGATGTCAGCTTGTCTCAAAGATTGACCTAAGATTGTAGTATGCCGGGCAGGATTAGGAATTCCAGGATCCTCTGAAAATTGATCAAGTATTTTATAAACTTTAAAATATAAAAAGACAAACATACATGTTATAGATATTCAAAGCATTCTCACCTATCGCACAAACTAGAAGATGAGTCATTACTGACAATAATTCGTCTTCTGGTTCAGATCCACAATTTCCTCCAATAGCAAGTTGTAGAGATTGCAGAGTAGGCAGTGATTCCATATCTTAAATATAAGTCACATCATTATTCTACCCATATAATTATTATTATTTCACTATTTATCTACACTAACCGAATCCTAATGTTTCTCCAAAGTTGTGCAAAAACTCAAACACCATTAATACATTGGCAAAAGCTTGTCCACAGATATTTAAACCATCTACTCGTGGCAAATCAGGTAATGGTGTAGCGTCGGGAATTTCTGAATCTTCCTGAGGTTTTCTGAAAGAATCAACAAAAAATAGTAGGAATACAAAATTAAAAATAAGACTATAGCTTTTATAAATACTTAAATATTTTGTATAGAAATAATAATAATATGAATAATATAAATAAATTGCAATCTCTTAAAAATTAAATACATTGCAGAAATTATACTTTCATTATTTATATTGAAATTATATTCATATTTAAATGTTTAAATCGTTTTTATTTAGTATGTGAAAAAAGTATTTGATTCAAAGTCACCTTAATTCTGCCAAAAGTTCAGCATCTTTCCGCTGCGCATTGATGGTTCTTTCTCGCTTGATAAGTTTTTCAAGAACGGCTTGATGTTTGCGTTTTTCACGTTCTTCCAATTTTCTGCGAGCTTCCAGAGCTTTTACATGGGCCATATGCTGCTTTCTCCTATCTCGCTCCTAAATAAAACAATAAACTTTACTCAAACTGTAATAATTAGTTAGTGGTTATTTTAAATGTAAAACAAAAAGACAATTTTGTAATTCAATTACTCATTCTTCTATCAAATAATACTTTGAAAAGAAAATTCATAAAATATTTTACATATATCTTGGAAAAATAAGCTTGATAATTGCTAATTTGCTAATTTTTAAAGTAGCAATGTAAGTACTCAATTTTTGTAATTTTTTTAGATGAATATTTTATATTTTTGTCTTAAAATTTACATATTTAAATATCAATACAGAATTTTTTGAAAATTAAAAGTATATAGTATTAACTTTTTCACAATATTTAGAATTACATATGAAAACAAAACAAACAAAAAATTAGTACTAACATAATTCCAAGATTGCTTTATTGTTTTACCTAGAAAATTACCACTAGGGTCCGACATAAAAAATTGAGCTATTGAAATCATATTCTGAAGCATATTATTATTTAGAAAATAAATTACTAAAAACTGCACACACACACACACACACACACATATATATATATATATATATATATATATATATATACTATAGTATCTGTGTTACAGTTTTTATGAAATTTATTTAAAATTCTAAGTCTAAATCATATTTATAGCAGTAAGATAAGTGTATGCAATAATATAAATAATGCTTTTGTAACATTGGCTAATGCATTCAGGATACATTTCCAGCTACTCATGCATGGCGATAAAGCTCGACAATGATCATTGAATGATAAATGTATGCATAAATTAAAAAAAGCAATTATATTATGAGCATGTTTATAAAAAATAAAATAGTTTTTGAGTTTATAAATAATAATATAATCATACTAACCGACCACAATATCATGATTTGACATGTGTCACCATAAGCAGATTTATTTTAGATTTTCGTACATAAAAGTAATTTGACATTCCACTTTATCGTTATAAAAATTTCATACTTTCAAATAAATTCATGGTGTAAAGCTCATGAGAATAACAAAATCAAGATATAAGTCAATTTAAAATGAAAAGAGGAATGACAAACACATTTATTACATCAAAATCTATAATATTACTATACTCAATTTATTCCTGAATTTTCTACATGCTAATGTATATTTCTATATGTAATTTGTAGATAAATAAAAAAAAAATTCTCTACATGAAACTATATTAATGGGTCAATATAATAAAAAGCATTTTGAATGTTAGATTGTTTATAATCCATTTAAACCCATTCACAGTCAAATAGTGTATATTTTGCTATTTTGTTAAGAGCGTCTTTTTTTTTGTAATCATTACAATGTTTGTTTAGCAGGCAGATAGGTTCATGGAGGCAGAAGGAAAAAGTTTGAATAAGTCGTGTTAATATAAACATACTATATGGAACATTAATTTTACCCGTTCCACAGTGTATAGCACTTCCTTTTGCTTGTTGAGTTCTTGCAAATACATCTAGATAAAAAGGATGATTTAAATAAAAAGTACCCTCCATTATTTATTGAGAATATTTCGCAATGGTGAGTTAATGTTATCATACAATGGATATGTTCCTTATTTTTATTTGATTATTTTCACATTTGACAAAGGTTCGTGCAAAATAATAATGATTTAAGATAATGATAAGATAATTATTTTATCAATTCTCTAAAACCTGAACGAAATATGATTTATATTATAATAGTTATCATCATATAATTATCAATGCCTGTTTATGTTCAACAGCAAATTTATAGAGTTCAAATGTTTTATTAAAGTACCTGCTCTTTTAAGAGTGCGGCTTGTTGTCTGTTTAGCTCGCGCTCCTATAAAATGGATCATCGAAAAATATTATAATAAAAATTGTATAAATAAAATGTATTTCGTGAGCTATACCTCCATCATTTGTTGATTTCTGATTTCCCTCTCTTTGCGCTGTGCTTCTAATTGCTCGGCGCGTTCCTGCTCTCTGGCATTTCGAGCCTTGAATAAAAAATATAACGGTTTAATTGGAGACATACTAAATAATAGTTTTCATTTCATTTTTGTTTAATTTGGAATAATACTCACTTGTTCTTTAGATCTGGCTAGTTCCTCGCGTGCTTGTTTCTTGGCGTCGCGAATTGCTTGCTGTTGCCTTGCTAATTCAATTCTATGATCAACATTTAGTATAGGCATGCAAGACCGTGCTAAAGATTTAATCTCATCTAGCCTATACACACAAGCAGTATTAAAAATTTAGTTGTGATAGTCAATTATTCATAAAGTATTGAAGTTCTGATTCAATAATTTTACCTCCTTAAAACAGATTCTTCATTCATTCTAATATATTCTCCTTCATCCGTAGCTAGATGCTGTGGTACTGCTTGCAAATATGATCCAACTATTGATTTTGAACTGAAGCTGAAATTCTCCTTCGTTAAACCAGTATTTTCCAAAAGCTATGATAAAAATAATTGTAGATGATAGTCACTATAAAGGATTTATCGATTTTTTTCAACGCTTACTCATATAATTGTCATATACTTACGGGCAATATTTGGCTCATGTTCTTCAATTGAATAGTAGATCCAGGCGCTTGATAGGTCACTTCACCTCGTATACCGCCGTTCTTAGACAAGCCACGTAAAATGGTCTCTCGTTTCCAACCTTTATCTAACGGAACTCGTAACAATTCTATATGCTGTGCTGTGTTATCTTCATTCTCACTTTCAGTTCCTGTTTCCAACTCGACGCTGCCATCGCCGTCCGTTCCAAAATCCAAGCCCAACCCTGTTCCATCTCCTAACACTTGCTTCAACTTTTCCTAGAATATGCAAAACGAACATAATTAAATTGCATACAATCTATAAGCGATTAAAATGTGCCTTTAATTTATCTTACCAAATCCTCCGCTGAATATTGCTGAGACAATATGGGTTTGATACCGAGAGCTCGACTTTGGGCGAGTAATGAGGCGACAGTATTTTTCTTAGGTTTAGATACGCCTCTGCCGAGATTTCGAGGACGGCCTTCTTTTGAATGGGCTACAAAAATATTTCGTTATATTAAAAAGAATTCATATTTTATTTGGTTTAAATGAAAATAATATATATATATATATATATATATATAGGGTGGTCCTTAAAATGGTCATTTCGAATTTCTTGCTCCCGGGGCTCAAATGTTCCAAATAAATACAAAACAATTTCTGAAAGTTTTAGCTCTTATATTAAGTTTAGATAGAGCGCAATTCAATCAAAGTTTGTATGAAAGAGCATGGAAAAAAAATTTGAAAATTAAAAAAACGGTTTTAGGCGTAAACTTGCGACAAATGAATGAGTTTTATTCATTCATTGTTTCGCTAATTACATCTAAAAAACATTTTTAAACTTTTGAAAAAATTTCCATGCTATTTCCATACAAAACTTTGATTGAATTGCGCTCTATCTAAACGTTAATATTAAGAGCTAAAACTTTTAGAGAATTGTTTTTATCTATTTGGAACCATTTGCGCCCCTGGGAGCAAGGAAATTCGAAAATTATTTAAGGACCACCCTAATATTATCTATATATATATATATATTATATATATATATATATATATATATATATATATATATATATATATATATATTATAGTCTATTCGGGTGGTCCTTAATATGGACTTTTTCGAATTTTATTGGTCCCAAGGTCTTACATGTTTCCGAATTGATAAAAAAAAAAATCGAAAACTTTAGCTCTTATATTAAATTTTAGATAGTGCGCAATTCAATCAAACCTTCGTATGGAAATAGCATGGAAAAAATTTCGAAAATTTTAAAAATGTTTTTTGGGTCGACAAATGAATTAAATACGACAATTCGTGTCATTTTTTATTGAAAATTCAACGCTCTGCAAAACAGGTTTTTTAACTTCCCGTAGGGCAAGTTATTGCAATGGGCCAAAAATCGAAATTGAAAATTTTTACATTTTAACATTTTGGCATACCTCAGAAAAAATGGATGTGTGTGTGTATGTATGTATGTATGGATACAAATTTCCAGTCACGTTTTCGGGCGCACGGAGCAACCGATTTGAATGGTTCATAAAACGTTTGATTCCTATTGATAGGGGGAAGAGCTGATTAGTTTTTGACAAAGGCAGGTCCAGTCGTTACGGAGATACGGAGCAAAGAGCGCAGCAAATAGAAATCGAGTTTTTGAATAAATTGGGAGAAGTGATTATTAGTTTTTGGCAATGGCAGGCCCAGCCATTTCGGAGATACAAAGGTAATTGTGCAAAAATGGCAGTTTTTGAGAGAACTAAGCGTCCAATTTAAATGATTCGAAGAACTTTTAGCTTGCTTTAACAAAATAATTGATTTTGGAAAAAAATGTATCATATATATTCTTTTTATAGTTTTTTTTTGTATATCGAAAATAATTCAAATTTTATTTTTAATTCTGATTATAGTTCTAATATACTTTAAACAAATAATTTCAACTTTGCAATTCAGTTTAATAATTCTTCTAAATATTAGACAATGTTACATTATTAATAATAATCTATTTGAAAACATTCCGTATTCCTCGAACATTTCGTTACGGTACGGGAAGTTCCAGCAATTTGCCTTAAGGCACGATGCCATACACCCCACTAGTTATAATTTGTTTTGTAGAGCGTCGAATTTTGAATAAAACTCATTCATTTGTTCGCTAAGTTATATCTAAAAAACATTTTTAAAATCATGCTCTTTCCATACAAAACTTTGATTGAATTGCGCACTATCTAAAAGACAATATTAAGAGCTAAAACTTTCAGAGAATTGTTTTTTATCAATTTGGAACCATTTGAGCCCTTGGAAGCAAGGAAATTCGAAAATGTGAAAATGTGTATGTATGTATATACCGGGTATGATGAGCATATCATTTTCTTCGCCGCCGCTAGACGGCCTCGGCGATTCCGACAGACGCGCTGATGGCCGCGATAATTCGCCGGTCATTGGTGGTGTTACGGATGCTGCGGGTTCTTGAATCACTCTTCTAGGCTTTGCTCCAGGTTTTCTACGAGCTATTAATCAAAATAATATTTTTATATTAGCACCCGAAGGAAACTTCTTCAATTAAATATAAAATATATAATATTGAATTAAACAAATATAATCTTAATTCACATCTTTGCACACTGCATAAAATTCTCTTTTTATTAATAAATATATTGTACCTCATTGTAAAACAACGATGCTATTAATATTATATGAACGCCGCAGCAATAAGCCATTTTTCTACGGCCAGTGTGAATTGCAGTGCAGCATAACGTTTTTTATTGAAATAGCATAAAAGTACAAGCATCATAATAGCGACAAATATGCATAAAAATAACCGATAGAAGAATTTCTATAATTCTATAATTTTTTACATTTCAATCTACCTTTCAAAGCCATTTATCCGATAATGATATCCACCTAATATGTGTTATAAGCTGTTTTATTATTTGTTCAACTACACTAAAAGTTTTAATGACTCTAAAATTAATGACAAATGCAAAATCACCCCTGCGCACGTGTTGAATCGGACCATGCGCCGTTTTGCTTTTTTGCAGTAACATTGTTAATTTATTTCAAGAAAAAAATATTTTAAAGAAAATGTAATTATTAGTGTTCATGAATGTATCGTTTGGAGTGATAAATGCAAATTATTTAATAAAATGCAAAATATAATTATTATATTATATTAATAAAATATAATAATTAACAATAATTATTACATCAAAGATACGAGTATATGATGATCGTTATAATATATTTAAAATAATGAAAATAGAAATTGATCTGTCCGTAGAACAAAATCTTTTGCTGGCACATATCGGGGGATTGTCTATCATTTTTCAATGAAATCTACGCATTCAAAATTAATACTTACAAACTCTATCTCCTGTCGGCAAGTTGTTGCTGCTATTTCCAACAGCAACTGTTATATTTGTAAGACTACTAAGGCTATTGTTAATTTCGGAAGCTGATGTCGTTGGTTTAAGCGACAAATTCAGTGGCGCGTCGTCTTTGTCACCTGACACTGTGAGATTCAAACAGGCATCGCCTCCTTCGGGCATTATATTCCTATGATCGGGGTCCGTCAATGGTTTAGAGAGCAGGTTCAGCATATGTTTATGCATCGTGGGTGGGGCGGGCGGTATACCGTTCGACGATGTTAAAGACGGCGGTAGCTTGATCACTTCTACTTCATTTTGGTGAGCGTGGGGAAGCTTCGTGTAATCTGTGTCCTGAAAGTCAAATTGATTTCAAATAAATTTATAAATAATATTACCTACTGTAAATGTTTTATGAGAGATATTTATAACAAGTTGCTTACCAATCTCGATCGTTTCATTTTATTCAGCGGGATTCCCGTACTCGAAACCGAAGCCGTTAAACTCACAGTAGGCGGATCGAGAGATATCGTCTTCTTTCTACCTCGATTCGTTGTTCCAGGAATCTTTGGTCCAACTATGCTACTAGTATATTTAATAATTTCGGTATCTGGAGGCAATCTAACACCACCTAATATCGCTGATGGATCACTGCAATAAAAAAAAATTGGTTAGTTTTAGTTAAAAGCCGAATGAGTATAACTGCATTTATATTCTAAGTTCTGCTTACCTTAGAAAAGTCATGGATGCAGGTGAATCCCTTGGTCTGGGTGGCGGTGTGACTGATGGTTGGGGCAGTATAGGCTTATTAGAATTCACAGTATGCATTGTAATTTCCTTAGGTAAAATGGTACCACCAGGAGTTTTTTGAGGCTTCATTTTGCTAGAGGAGCTCATCAATGGCGAACTACTTACCCCTCTGTCAGACTTGGAAGAACTGTAACTAGTGTTCGTCAGAAAGTTTTTGTGGGAGTTGTAGTTAGAACTGATAGATTTTTGATAGTTGGTGTTGGCTGAAGAAGTTGAGGCTATTGACGACGTCATGGTTGAATTCAATTTATCTTTTTTATTACTAGATTTTTGACCCTTAGATGACGACTTAGGAACATGAGGCGGTGTAAGCATTGGGTACTGTAAGTCCGGCGTTGGAAAATTCAAACCGGAAGCTTGCAAGCGATTCAGATAATCTTGAGCGGCGAGATGTGATGCCATAGACCACCATGCAGCGCCTTGATGGAAAGCTTAGGTTTTAATAACATTTTGAATAGATTTTTCTTCGGTACAAAAATGCTTTACACAATAATCCCACGATATTTAGTATATAATTCAAATGTTAAAAAACTGGTAGAAATTAAGATAAAACACCCCTTTGGATCTACCATTTTTTGTCATTAACAAAATACTAAACCTATATAATTATCGGAGCCACTTACTAGTTGCCGGATGCATTCCAAGACTCGCAGCTTGTGACGCCGCAACTGCCATGGTGTTCGCGTGCGGATGAGCGGCGGATGGGTACTGCGGCGGGTGCGGCGGACCACCGCCTCCGCGTCCTCCATGCGGCAAACCGAAGCCGCCGAGTCCCGCCGCAGCTGCTGCTGCGTGGAACCCGGACGCCGCCGAAAACATTGAACCACTTCCCCCGCCGTCTCGTGGCCAATAAGCTGGAAAGAAAATAAATAATTTTAAGTAACTTTCTAATGAATATAGAAAAGAACAATAAATATAGTGGTTGAAAGAAATTATACTAACATAAATATTTCAATAGTTAATCATTCGTCTAGTAATATATTTTGTTGCATGGTGTAAAAAATACACCAACTTAAAAATTTACATTTAAATTAACCGTGTATACCGTATATTATATTATAATGAACGTATATTATACTAAATACAATTTCAAGAATATATGTCATTTAATTATGATAAAATAAATTAAAATTTTCAAACAGCGCGATCTTTCTCAAATAGCTGTTTTCAATTGCATAGAACGATATCCAACACACGTGACCTTAATATAAATAAGACATGACATGCTATTTTGTAACTTGAATTTCATATCACTCTCATTTACTTTCTGTAGAGAAATGATAAATTTGGTTTATAAACTTTACTTTACACATGAACGCACACACACACACACGAATCATTCTAGATCCTCCCCCCACGAAGTAATGCCTAACGGCGGTTTCCGTCCGACATACCCAGACAGAAGACCGGTCTGGGATGCGTAAAAGCATTTCCTTCGCTATACAAAAAAAAAAACACACACACACATATACATATATATATATCTGCGCAAAAATACTTTTTCTACACTTTTCTACAAACAAAATTCTCATTTTTTTCCTATATACAAAAAAAAAGAAAAAAATTATGATTATTGGACTGGTTAGTTGTATCAATGTAAGTACAAAATTTTGTGCTGTGTACACATGCTTAGATGTAAGATACCAAGTTCAATATCCACTGATGATGACATCATATTGTATGTCGAAACGTTTGAAACTAAATATTATTTTATAAATCTTTGTTTTTTCTTTGTTTGATGTATCGCATAAATCAATGTTATGATGATAGTTTCTATAATTAAAATATCAACTGTTATAGATAACATTAGATAACATTTTCAACTTCATTTGTAAAAGATTGAAAAAAACAATGTTAAAAAGCAACGTGGCTTATTTATCAATATGCAATATCAAATACTTACTGCAATTTTAGTGTATTATGCCTCAATTTGGTGTATTAATCTCAATTATATACTACAACATTCTTTCAAAAGTGGCACAGATACTACTACTCAACATATTATAATAATAACAAATTCATATAATTTTTTCATTTACGCAGAACCATCAGCGAATGCATTTACATTTGGAAACCTTTAAACGATAAATGAGAAAATAAATACGACAATGGATATCAAATTATTAGTGCATCACGACATTTATCACATCGCCGAACACTTTCTATTGAAACCGCAAATACGCGACACTAATAATTTCCACAATGTATGAATTATGGCACAAAATCTTATTTCTCATTGCAAGTAATATTCGTTTTATAATTCTTCTGAATATTTCCGATCGTCTACAACGAATCATTTAAAGGTATACAGAACCGTCGAGAGGATAATGAAAATTGTGTTCGTTTCATTTGGCCATATGTCTGTCGTTAAAGTTGGATGAGAATTATGTCTGCCTATACTCTACCTTCACATATAAAAGACACATTCGTGTGCACTGTCATTCGCTTGTAAAACGATGCTGAAATACATTAACTTTAAGACAATTCTGCTTATAATAAAGTATGCCATAAATAAATTTACGTTACTTCGTGCCAACGATTTTTAAATACACGCTGTGTTTAGTGAGATTGTATTAGTTTTATGTGTGCACTAATAAGCATCAACCATATGTTATTTGAAACTAACCCTTTCCGAATAACGCACGCCATAATATAATATATGCGGATAGCTATGAGGTGAACATTTTTGTCTTTACTGAAACGAATACCAAAAATGTGTAAGAAATATTAGAATCCAAATGAATATTAGTTGCAATGAAATAATTATTAACTTCCCGTAGGGCAACACCTTCTGAACATTTTGGCATACCTTAGAAAAAAATGGATGTATGTGTGTGTGTGTGTGTGTGTTCGGATACCAGTTTTCGTCGACGATTTCGGGAACACGGATTAATGGTAAAAAATATTGAAATATTTTGAGCATGTAAATAGTTCTACATAATATTGTCATAACTACTGACCAGTAGGCCGACGCAGTGAACAGAATTGTGCAGGTGCGTCATTTTCGACAGCTGATATAAAATTGATCTATAATAAAAATTCAGTTTGAGTTATTATTATCGGTAATTTTACAATTTAAGTATCATTTTTCTTTCCAAATGTATTAATCTTTAAATCTTTAAAAAATACAACCAGCCTCCAGCCCCCCTATTAACATTATACATCGTACACTGTTTTTTTTTCTATTCTATGATTAGACCCATGGTTTTCTAACATATTATTTTTTATAAATTTTCATTAAAATTATACATTTTATTCTTCACTATTACAAATACAATTTTTAAGTAGCGGAACACAATGATCCTATTTGACTTTGAGCAACTATATTGTGAAAACCAAACCAATTACATCACAACAAATGCCGCATATCAAACAAACAACTATCTGACTATGTTCAGTAAAACTCCCTTTTTGCTATTTTTCAAAAATTTGACACTTAGTCCACAGGCAATTTAATTTTAAATTTTATTTTTTTATAGAGCATTTACTGCATTATTTGATCAATGCGATACAGTTTAATAATTAGTTTGAACAAAAACAAAGTCAAAAAAATTATCAACTTTTAATACTTTTTAAATTTTGCTTTGGTAGTTAATTCTGTTTAATTTATTATAATCAGTATCATCGTTTCTTGAAATTTCAACTTTTGTTTGAAATACATATTTTATGAGCACATTTTTTATTAAGATCGCACTGGATACAACCTTCATAGAGAAAAGACGGATTTGTGAGAAGAATTTATCATCAGAGTTGGAATAACGATTAATTTAATTTATCTCTTGTATAATTGCTTTTTTTTAAACATATTTTACATTTTTACTTTTGAAGGTTTAGGTGAATCTTTTTACCCCAACCGCATGTAAGCTATTCTAGAGGTTATATAAAAAAATCCGTTGGATATAACATAAAAATAACAAAAAATCTCATGAGACATAAATAACGTATAGTTAAAATTATATTCAGGTATCCTAAATTAAATAAAAAAAGACTGACAACGAAACAAATAGTTTCGTTAAAAATTGGAAAATGTGACCGGGTTTTTATCCGACTACTTCTTATTATGCCGTATTATTTTTAGTTAAAATGTTTTTATAGAATCATATGCACGGATAAGATATATTAGTGATGTAGTTTTTTCGTTCAAGCATATTAAGTTTTAATTGATTTGTTTTGGGAAAAAAACTTACATGAATACGTGTATGACTATTTAAATCCTTATTGAGAAAATATAAGACTTTCGAGAACAATAGAGAACGTACACCAATCACTCCAAGTCATCCAGCATTTATTTTAATATTATTAGCAAATATTTCTGAGCACACGAATTGTGTGATAATGAGAATAAATTGCAGGTAAAATATTATTATTAATTATTATTTTAATTTTTTTTGTGATTATCATTTTGCATCGGAGTGAATAGGTAAAATCCATTAACCAAAGTTTTTTAAGAAAAAAAGAACCAGTCTTGCAAAGCTACAATAATAATGATTACCTCTAGTAGATTATGTCGCAAAAAGTTCAAACCTATATAAAATAGAAATATTTTAATTATAATTTAAAACTTTCTCTTAACACTCATCTTGAGCGTGAACAAAGTGAATGCGCGCTTGGCTCACTAAAAATATTAGTGAAACAAGCAAACATTTGATCGTTTAAAATTAGTTCTCTCATTTTTTTACGTAAGACTGTAAAATTGAATTTGTCAACATCATTTTCAAAAAATATAATGTTCTCAGAAAAATCTTAAAATTGATATAAATTTACAAAATCAGCTGCTGTAAACAGAATCTAATACATCTCGACAGGGACAAAATGCTGTTCTTGGAAATATTGGTAGTTACGACGTTGATCTGTGCATCGACTATCCGTTCCTTGAACAGGTAAAATACCTAAATAACATTACGAGAAGTTGGATACCGTGAGTCCTGGGCCTCTCAGGTTTAGTGAACTCATCCGCAAGACATGAGACAATAAACAAGGAATTTGCTCGCAATCCGTCTTAGTGAAAGAGCTGGTTGAATGAGGGAATTTAATGATAATTACCTGATTGGGTACATATCTTTACTATGTTAAACCAGATATTCATTTAATATAACAAAATACTTTTAATGAATCCAAAAAAAAAATGAATTTGAACCATACTTAATTAGAAACAATAGGTGGTTACACTAGGCGCAATTACTAAACAATCAATTACTACATAAGCTTTTCGTTTCGTATTGTGATTTTTATTTTATTTTATCATTCAAAACTTAAGGGTTCTATGAAATTTTGTGATGGATTTCCTACTAGTTGTCCTATCTCTATGTGATGATTTTTTATTATTACATTTTTTTGTAATAGTAATGAATTTTTAATGATGCAGCAATGACATGCAAGGGCTGTTTTCACATGGAAATACTTTGCTATCTATATTTTCTTTGAGTACCTGTACTTCTTAAATTAAATTAATTGTAAAATTTTTAATTTCCCGTAGGGTAAGTTATAGTAATCGCAAAAAAATGAAAATGAAAATTTTTATATATCTTTACGTTTCAGATTTCTGAATATTTTGGCATAACTTAGAAAAAATTGAAGTGTGTGTGTATGTATGTGCGGATACAATGTTTCGTCGACAATTTCGAGAACACGGATCAACCGATTTAAATGATTCAAAATAT